GACTACTTTTTGACTTTGATTAACATATCAAAGTTTTGTTTCTCATTAAATTGATGAAAATAGAGAACTGATTCCAACAGACTAAAAATATTTCTTCGACAGGCCCATTGTGCAATTGTTCGTAATAAAAAATTATTTGTATTACAAGCTACCGATTGTCATGATAATCATTGTTCGAATTAGTCTCTCGCATCATATTTTGCATATGAGGGTCGATTTCTATGGACATCTGTCATAGTTGGCAAGAGAATTCAGTTGAATTTGTCCACTTTTGTATGGTAAATCTTCTATGATTTATTTTAAATCATTTTAAAATATTTACATGTAGAAAATTTTCATTTTTAATCATTCTTATTTAACAACTATTAGAATTTTATTCATCTCCTTATAATTAATCATTTGATGTTCGTTGCTATGGAAACCAATCATTCGATCGTCTCATATCATGAGCATCAAAAAAAAATCTATTCTATAGAAACAAATAGTTCGAATATCTTCGATTTCTTTTTAAACCAAAGATTCAATATTTGGATGTTTCGAGCACCGATATAGAAACGACACTATAAGGAAAATGATGAGTAAAATTTCAATTTACAAGAAAACAATAAATAAAATGACGAATAACTTTTCATCAACAAAATAACAGTAGGAAGATACTTTCTCTTTACTTTTTGTGCTTCTACTTGCACATGTGTCATGTATATCAGCATAATACTTAACAGTACTTAAATATTTATTATTTTTCAGTATTCTCTTTTTTCCTACTTTCATAAGACGCATGTAATTACCTCACAAGATGTCTGTCTATTCAATGTTTTGAATGATTTTCATCAATAAAAGATTTATGGTGAAATTTTTTTCAAATAATAATAATTTATAAGAAGTTGTATCTGTGATGTCACCTCGAATTTTTTTACCCAGTACTAAAAATAGGACATACTATGCTTTTTACATTGACAAATTTACCAACAAAATTTTTGCAACTATTCATACCATGCTTTCAATCAATAGGAAGAAAAAAAAATACTTACCCGAGGCACGTCAGTTGGATTTTTCATTCGTCTGTAGCACAAAAATATAAATATATACGACATTCACTTAATATTTGTATGCATCTTTCCTCTATTAAGATTACACTTGTTTTTCGACAAATTTCTTAAGCATTAAGATAACGACCGAATAGATAAACTTTTAACGAAAATGCTTGTTTTTCATATTCAGTTTTATCTTTAATATTTTGAGACATTTTTTTTTGATCGACATATATGGACGAAAAAATATATTGTCAATTTAAACATATACCATCGAAGAGAGACGCTGAACAAATTGCTGCCAATATAGAAAAGTATGTTTTATATTATTTCATATTCATATATTTTTTTTCTATATTTTATTTCTATTAGTTTTATAAAACCAAAAGAATTTGATAAATTAGGTATACAAAATTGTGGAAAAAGTGGAAATGATACAATCTCTGTTCTATTTACTCGTAAAGATGCCAATAATCTTCGTGAGAAACTTACTAAAATATTATCAAGTGATAATTCACCTGTTTGGTTTTGTATTCATTCGGATCCTTTTCATTCAATGATTCCACATTCAATAATAACAACTGATGATGATCGACATGTAGGATTAACATTTGATATATCTTGTGAATTTGGTTCACTTCGATCATATAATCAATTTTATTCACATGTTTCATTTAATAATAAAATTCTTCAAGTTTCATTTAATCCGACGAGATCAATACCAACTGCTTTATATATTGAATTTGATAATATACGTTTGACTATTCCATTTGCTTCAATTCAAAAGAAAAAGATTTTAGTTAATAAAGAAAAAGCAACAAATGGTGTCTATGTATTATTATCACTTAAATATTTACCATATATTTATCAATTGGAACGTGCGAAAGGTAAAAATACAGACGATGAAAATTCAGATATGAAACAAGTTCGGTAAGATTATTACACTGACTTGAGTTTTTTTTTGTTATTGTTTTTTTCTTATCATTTTTTGAATTTTTAGAATATGTGCTGATCAAGAAAACGTTCCATTCATTGAAGATCTTGCAAATTGTTCTGATGTTGTTTTTTATTTTCCACCGTCTCAAGATAAGCCTTGGTACTTTCTTTCTTATTTTTTATTAGATCGACCAGAACGATATGAAATAAATTTTTCTTGTTTCAAAGTTTCTGATTGGTCGAAAGAAAATAATAGAAATCAAAGACCAGATCCATTTAATTATAGAAATGCTTCATTTCAAGATCGTTATTGTTTACAAATGCTTATTTCACTTGGATATGTATTTCGAGATAAATGGGCACAATTAACTGATCAAGAATTGAATTGGAATACATGGGATGTAAATGAACGTTATACTTTATGTTGTTTTGCTGTTGAAAAATTACGTGAAGATCATGGATATGATTTAAGGCGAACTAAAAATGATTATAATCAAACAAGAAAAAAGTTAAAAGAATTAGTTAGTGATACGGATGAGCAAGTTGCATCAGTTGATAGTAGTCAACGACTTAAAGTTGCTTTTTGTACATTAACACCATTAAAAATTATTTTTCAACCATTTGAAGTTACAACTGGAAGTCGAGCTTTAAGAAATCCTCAGTAAATTTACTTTTTTTGTTTTTTTATAAATATTAACATAAATCATTTCAATTTAGACTTGGTGGTGTTGAACGATTTCTTCTTGTACATTTTCGTGATGAAGACAATCGACAATTACGTGTTTCTAATGCAAATATTAAAGGAAGATTAAGAAATTCAATGCAAAATGGTATTGAATTATTTAATAAAAAATTTAAATATATGGGTGCAAGTACAGGTCAAATGAAAGAAAAAGCTTTTTGGTTTATTGATTTACCTTCTCCTCTAAAGAATATTCAAGAAGCACATAAAATACTAGGAGATTTTAGTGATATAAAAAATATTGCTACGTATATTGCTCGTGTTGGCCAATATTTTTCTAGTACATGGCCTGTTAATGTAAGTATTTATACTTTTCGAGATACTTTTTTTTTGTTTTATTGAAAAATTAATATACATATGTAATCCTATTTTCTAGATTAAATTAACAGAAATCGAAGATAAAAAAGCAATACGTTCAAACAATAACTTGAATTATGTTTTAAAAATTGATGATATCGAAAGAAATAAATATTGTTTTACGGATGGTATCGGTAAAATATCATGGGGTCTAGCTGGACGTATTGCTCAAAAAATGAAAATTCCAATATATTGCCAGGTTTATTTCACAAAAAATTCATATTTAATATTTATTTAATCTTATTTTAGGAAGATATTCCATCGGCATTTCAAATACGTGTAGCTGGTTGTAAAGGTATGGTAGCTATTGATCCTGAATCAACATTAAATGATTATTATATTCATATACGGAAATCTATGAATAAATTTGATGGTGGAGATTGGAATTTAGAGATATGCGAATATGCTCGACCATGTAAGATATTAATATTGAATGATTGTTATTTTTTTCTATAATATAATCTTTGATTGTTTAGTACCATTAACATTAAATAATCAAGTGATTCGACTTTTAAGTGATTTAGGTAATCATGATAGTGCATTTATTGCTCTTCAAGATCGAAGTTTTACTCAATGGGAAATTCCTGAAGAGCAACAACCTAGTGCTATTGATATAGCAGTACAAAAAAATAATTCTTATTCATTATCGTAAATATTTAATTCTCTTTTTTATTAAATTTAGAAATTCGTAAATGAATTATTTCTTTTAGAAAAGATAATTTACTCACGAATCGTATACCTATTCCTCCAACAGATGGTCGAAATTTATTTGGCGTAGCCGATGAAACTGGTGAACTACAATATGGACAATGTTTTATACAATATTCTACATTAACTCCAACTAAGAAAGGTCAAGGAAGATTTCAAGTTGTTACTGGTGAGAGTTTTCTATGAATATAGAATAGTCATAAGAAATTCCACTGCCACCTAAAATTTTACCTATTATTTTGACTACAAATAGATTTTGATAAAGCATCAATCCGAAGTTATAATTAAAGTCTAAGACTAAAGTTTAGATATTTCTTATCTTATATGCAAGACTTTTTCCAACTAGTTTATTCAATTTATTTGAAATATTTTCTTCAAGGTACGGTGATCGTTACAAAAAATCCATGTCTATGGCCCGGTGATTTTCGTCGATTAAAAGCTGTACGTAATGAAAAATTAGAAGCATGTATGCGTGATGTAATCGTATTTCCAACAAAAGGTGAACGTCCACATCCAAATGAAATAGCTGGTTCAGATTTAGATGGTGATCAATATTGGGTTTATTGGAGTGATAGTTTAAGAATTGAAAAAAATGTAGAACCATTATCATATACTGGAGCAAAAAAATTAGAAATACCATCAATTACTCCAGAAAAAATCATTGAACATATTGTTAATTCATTTGGAGCTAGTATAATTTTAGGTATGATCGCAAATACTCATACAGTTGTAGCTGATAAACATCGGGAACATTCATTCTCGGAACCTTGTAAAAAATTAGCTGAATTATTTTCACTTGCTGTTGATTCACCAAAAACAGGACATTTTATTGAAATGGAAGAGCTTAGACCATTTCAAAAAGAATATTGTAAAGATTGGCCAATATATATGAGAAAATCTGGTGAACGAACATATCAATCAACAAGTGTATTAGAAAAACTTTATTTAAGAGCTGAAGAAAGATATTTTAAATTGAAAGAAAAACCTATGATTAATACATTTCCACAAAAATTAAAAGCTATAAAACATGCATTAACAAATAGTGTTCAAGATGAAGGATTTAAAAAATGGCTAGATGGAGATATTTATCAAAAAGGTATAAATCGAAAGAAACCTGTAAGAAAGAAATCTAACAAACTTGATAAAGACGATTCATCAAGTGATGAACAATCAATTCCACCGTAAGATTTGAAAGTTTCTTTTTGTTTTTTTTATTGTCATAATTATTAATTTTAAATTATGTCAGATCAAATGAAAAAAAATCTACTAAATCGCCAATAACAAAAAATGAAAATTCACATGAAGAAATGAAAAGTCATGTGAAAAAATCATCACATAGTAAATTGAATCAATCAGAAATACCTTTAAAAATAGAACCTGAATCAAATACAAAACAAAAGAAATCTTCAATGTAAATTTCTTTTCATTTTGTTACTTTTACTTCTACAAACAATTTTTCGATATTTTTATAGTACAGAAAGTGTCTCTGCATTAATAAATTCTAGTATTTCTTCACCATCATCATTAGCAGCATCAAATATCGATGAATGTCATACTGATTTCCTTATGGCTGTTGATATGAAAACTACGATTCAAACTGTTGTAGAATTTTCTTCAATTAAC